TCATCAATGCTCTTGTGATTTGCTTCAGAATCACCTATACCCCTATGATTTTTATATCACAGATGCCCCTGTGATTTGTAAAAGGATATGTTTTTTATCATATATGTCCTTGTGATTTTTTATTTTTTACAAAACACAGGAGTATATGTGATAAAAAAAAACCACAGGAATATAGATGATTCTGAAGCAAACCGAGATATTTTGGTGAACTTTTCCCAAAATATTACTAATGACAAGATTTTTTGTTCACGACAATCAGCATATGTACATTTACAAACTAAATACAAATAAATACTAAAATTTTCAAAAATATCTTTGCTCGTAATTGTCACCTTTTGTTTAAGAATTATATTATGCTAATATTATGATTGGCTTCTTAAAAAGTTCACAATCACAATGTTTGACCGATTGAAGTATAAAATAAGAATTTAATTTTCATATATTGCCTTGTAATTTTTTTTTACAATTACATTATCATTTAATTACACATTACACAATTATTAAGGTATTTTTACTATCACTACCACTATTTAGACAGTTAAAGTTTTTAATAATATGTTAACATATTGTTAAAAAATATTATAAATAACATTCATGTAGCAACTGTATCTAATTTAAGCTCAAAATATTTAAAACAAAAAATGCACTAAATTTTCAGGACACCAATATTGTTTTATTGTTTGTTTTTCTTCCGTTATAAAATATTGTTTTCTATTCATCCAAGTAAATACGAATGTATTATTTTGGGAAAAATGTTTGTGAAAGATAAATATTTTAATTAAAACTAGTATTTTTTTATTTAATATTTAAATTAAAAAAATATCACATTTCTCCCACCATTTTTGTTTCTTTTATCATAAAAACCAATAATTTTGACAATAATAACATAATTCTATATCCTTTAAAAGAATAAATATTAATCTCTATTACTTTATGGTTCAGGAAACTCCTCTATCTGATCAAAATCATTGGGCTAATTGGTTTTTCTATAACGAGGTCCTGTGGCCCAAACCCAGCTATACGACGAACAGAACTCTTAAATACCAAAAACAAGTAAATAACGTTGGAGACAAATACATACTAGAAAGTAGAAAAAAAACAACATATTTCACAGAGAAATGAAAAAATCACAAACCCATCACAAGTCACAAACAACATAAAAAGATTTGTTGTGAATTTTTCTTAGTTTAATACTTAAATGCAACCTTTTTTCTTTTCTTTTTCATTTTACATATATACGAAACACGATTACTGAGTAAGCATCACCTAATTTACCTCCATTTTCTTTCTAGGTCTAGTTGACTCCCCATCAACTATTGGAGAGTCTATTTTTTCCACACCCAAAGACAGATCAAGCTGATAAAGTGTTGTTTTTTTTTTTTAAAAAAAAAAAACAATTCTAGAAATTGTAGCAAGGTTTTAAAAATATTTAAATCAAATGGGAAATTTAACGCATTCGTCTATCTTACGAAGTTTCATTAAAAAAAAAAAAAAAAAAACAATTGTTATATAACGCCAAAAAAGGGATGAAACTGTAAGCCAATTACATTGGAGCACATTTCCATGGATAAAGGAGAAGGCTCAAGCAGAAAGGTTTTCAGTTGCTATACGCACAGATAAAATCCTGAGAAATATTTTTGTAATAATATAAGATCTCAAGAAGAACTGTGTGCGGTTTTCTTTCTCAAGAAAAAGATATGAACCTAAAAAAGATATTACACATAAACAAAATGATCGAGGATGAGTAGAGAGATTACCACAGTCGCCAAATGAAAGAAGCAAGCAGTTAATTATCATCCAAACCCTAATTTTCATTTATAGGACGCTTTCATGTCCAAAACGACAGTGCTTCCCCGGGGACAAATTATTTTAGGCTTTCAAATTTATTAAATGAAATAATAATAAACAATTAAAGGGATTGAAAAGAAACACAGATATAAAAAAGTAATTCATTGATATTAAAGATATGCCTTTTTCAACTAAATGAATTTTTATAATACAATGTTTGAAGTAACCAAAATTAAATCAAAATTTAATAACCTATAAATTTTCTTAAAATTAATTTTAAAATTAAATTAAAATCGAATAATATATCATGGATATCATAATTCAAGAGTTGAGTATGAGGGACACAGGGACAGTGCTTATTAGGCATATATTACAATATCTCTAGCTAGGCGTGGAAATAGGCATGGAAATGAGCTTAGACTTGAAAAGCCATAGTTTTATTTTAATTTTTTTTAATACAACGCATAATTCTATTCTTTACGAGTATTTATTTATTAAGTGTATTTTAACATTTTCAAAAAATTTGTGTGTGTGTGTCAAAATCATTTTGCACTACGTAAATTACACTCTCAATCTTGATCGTTGATTCTATTTATATCTAACAGTTCTGATTTATTAAATATTTGAACCGTTATATGCAAACAAATCAATCAAGATTTGATGTAAAATTTCTTATTCTTACACCGTTGTAAGAATATCTTGCCCTATATATATAGGAATTAATGTTTCTCTTGTCACAAAAGATAAATTATTTCCTACAATTTCAAAATGATGTTGTTTAAGATTTTAAATAAAAAATAAAGCGTATTTTAATAAAATACATGTTATATTATGAAAGTAAAATTTAGCAGCTATTTTCCGTTTACCGCAAATATTTTTTTTGCTAACCCAAAGAAAGAAATAACGTTTGCCAAAAGCTATTCTAAATGAAACAAAAAAAAGCCTCCTCATTAAATTTTAAGAACCACAAGAAGGTAAGGGAGAAATCAAAAGAGTGACTCATTGACTGCGAAAACAAAATGTTTCTAATGAAACTGAAACTGAAATGTGAATATATTTGTTCTATATTGATTGAAACCCAAAGGATTCCTTATATACAGATTACATCAAGTAGTTGAGAGTGCAATAAATACAGAGGGCAAGAAAGTCAAAGGGTACAATGATTAATAGCTACTGCTATATTCTATAAGTTGGGAGATGTATATCAATTATTTCCAGCTTGCTAATTAAATTCTTAAAGGAGGGTTTGTGTAATCCTTTGGTGAGAATATTTGTCGTCGGCTCTTTGGTATGTATATAAGACAAACATCATCTTTGTCACGCCCTTAAAACTGATCAAGTACAAAAAGCTAGGAAAATAAAGAACCATAGAAGCGAGTAAATATATTGAATTTCTGAGCCAGATTACAATAAGAACCTTGGAAAGCTGCACGGGGCTGATGCTCCTCTCATCGTGCTGCTTCTATATAAAGCTCCCATTGCCACGACAAACCCGATCAAGAAACAACATCCAAGCAAGTCAATCAAGCGCCCCCAAACATGTCACAGATCCCAGCTCCAATTTCAAAGAGCAAATCATAAAATAGGCAGAAAGTATCATAAGCATCTCAGACTCGAATGAACAAAACTTATGTGTCTGGAAAGAAAAAACTGCAAGTCTGCAGCAAAATTAATAATTATTTTATGTTTTCTGCCATGCATTTTTAGTTCAGGAGCAATGGTGTTAAACAAATGTTTTGAAGCTGGAGAAGATGATTGAAAGGTACAATTATACGGGCGTGTCTTAAGTTGACGAATCTTAGTTTTGGATTAAATCCATGCAGCAAAACTTCCAGCAATTAGCATTCAGCATGTTGACTTAAGTTTATGAACAAACTGGTGATTTAAATGAAATGAGAACTCCTACATAGTAGATACTTCAAGGATACTACTTGAGTTAGAAACTTCAAGGATGAAGAATACCAAACTATTATGTAAACAAGCCTATGGAAGAGAATAAAACAAAGTATAAAAAAGTGACCTACCTCTTTTACTTTGTTTTGGCCGCTTATGGTGGTGACTTTTACTTCTATCCTTTTCCTTATTCTGGAGGGAAAACGAAGTGAGATAAATTGACAAGGTTATAAAATGGGAAAAATTGTAGTGCCAACAAATCACCTTCTTTGGTCTGATGCTCTTTTTGTGCCTCTTTGATCGATGAGATGTTTCATGCTCACTATCAGAATAACTCACTTCTGTAGTAATAAACATAATCAACAATGTGTTGTGATATGAACCGTATTAATCCACTTAATAAATTATTAACAAATGATGCCAGAACTCTTCAACATCAATAACGTACATCAAGATGCAGCTACACTGAAAAGTAACTAACTACTCATGCAAAATGATTGGGTGTTTTCTATAAGACACACAATTTATCGACAGTAAACATTTTCAAGAAATTATCATTCCAAATCTATAGTAAAGGGGAGATGAAAACATGAACAAAGGAATAATATAAGAATCAGAATTGTGAAGAAGAAACACAGTGAAGGGGAAAGGATACTCAGCAAAGGAGACCAAGAGTTCGCTGGGTCAATGGTACCAAAGTCTGTTTTCTAATATATTTTCATCAGTTATAATCACACGATTCCATTCCACATCAATTCCAACTTCCATTCAACAAACATAATGTAAAGAACCTTGAGATACACCACCTCAAAAGCTAGCTCAAAAGGTAGGAGTGTCTAAGACCTTATAAACTCCACATTAGTTGCACATACAACCAATGTAGGACTATATATCTCAACACATAAAAACAGAATGGTATGGAACAAAACAGATTCCATTACTCAGAGAACCAAATATAGGAACAGGAATACTCAGCCGATTCCCTAATTCCATGAACATCAATTCTGAGTACCAAACATACCTCAAGAAAGAGAGAGTTCGAATTTCTTCTCCAACTCTCTGCCTCCCAGAGAATGGCCGGAAACTATTAATTATATCTTTTTTTCCCACTCAAACAGGCATTATTCCTGCTGAGATGGTATCTGTTTCCTAAAATATGGACCCAAACTGTTATATTTGCCAAGATGTTGAACCTAGGAAATCCATCAAGTCAATGATTTCTTGTCTTTCTCACACAAATAAGCATTCAAACATAGCAACCTATTTTAAGCTTCATAGTTACATATTTACACAGTTCCGTAAAGATAAAGACCATATTTACACAAACGACTCGCTATTAAGATTTCGTAAATGACTTGTCAGATTGTCTCATGTCCAAGTTTATTAGGAACTAGAAATGAGAGTATCCATTCCGGGTTATATTAATAAACATTACAACTTAAAATTAGGGGATTGGCATAGCAGCAAGATTGATTTCATTTGTAAATGAGATCATAACTTCCTAATGAAGTCGTAAATGTGATTAGTGATATCCTCTGCCGCTTCTTGATTATTGAAGTGAGCCACTCCTTTTTGCACAATCACTTCCTCCAAATTTGGCACAGCTTCCTTGAAACCTCCACCGTGGATATGCTGCTCCGTGTCTCGCGAGGTATAAACCATGTCTAATTCACCTGTAATGAATTTCACAGGAACCTTGATTTGCACTCCAGTCCACGGTGCTGTCAGCTCCCAATTTCTGCAAAATACATACAAGTGTAATTAACTAACTGTCTTTATAATTCGGACCCCAGTCATGTTGTAGAATAATCATAAAACATTTTTCACTAATTTCGAGTTTTTTTGGAAAACAATCCCAGAGAACACCGAGAATCAGGAAATTACAAGTTGAAATTTCTATAGTAGTTCAACCCTCCAGTGAAGCCCGTTTTCTCAAATTTGGAGACAAAATAAGCAAGATCATCTTGTGTGAGCCAAGAGGGCAATGTCGCAGGGGTATCCGGATTGAATCCAATTCCATATTCTCCCTTGGGCAACATTGGAGGACCAGTTTTGCGAGTTGTAAGGATGTTTTTCAGCACATATTCAGTCCCAACTTCAGCCATCTCAGCTTCCATTTTTCCCGGCTCCTATGACACCCATTAAAAACAATTATTTTATTACCATCAGATCTAACATTACAGTTAATTCTCACTTCATTTAGTAGAAGAAAGAAAATATCATATTGGAGCTTCATAATCCACAACTTATAATGTAGAATGGTTTGTTTATTAACTAGTAAGTAATCAAATATTCTTAGAGAAATATAAAATTATTAACGAAGTCTCACCTAACCGTTTAAGTTTTTGGATAGAATTGATTATTTATATGATATCAAAGCTCGCATCATGAATTTAATCTTCACCGCCCCATTTAATTAATAAATAATTAAGCATCCGGAATATGTTTGCACGTTCGATCCTTATCAGTACCACTTCCCATTTAATTAATAAATAATTAAGAATTTGTTACCGTGCATTGTTCACACCGTTAATTCTTTACAGTATTACACATAACATAACAGGTGAGGAAGAGCTTAAATTATGCAAAGCCTATTATTAAAATAAAATGAAAGGCAGGGTTAGCTAAATAAAAGAAAAGAAGTAAAAGAAGAACCTGAAATCTGCAGATGTAGAAGTCATCTCCATACAAGGCACGCGCGAAATCTACGGTGCTGATGTTGGGGTTTCTGGGGAGGAAGGGGACACTGAGGCAAACATAGGCTTTGACTCTGTCAGGACGAAACATGCAGAGGTACCAACCCATAAGGGCTCCCCAATCATGACCAACAAGGAAGACTTGTTCAACACTCAACAAATCAAGAAGTGCAACAAGGTCACCCACTATGTGGAAGCAGGTGTAGCTGCTGATTGAAGTAGGGGCCTCGGTGTCACCAAAGCCACGCAGATCTGGGGCAACGGTGCGGTATCCGAGGGAGCTGAGAGCCACAATCTGGTGTCGCCATGAGTACCAGAGTTCAGGGAAACCATGGAGGAACAGCACCACAGGGCCTTGTCCTTTCTCTGCGATATGCATTTTGATGCCATTCACTTCCACTGTCCTGTGCTCTATTCCCTCCATCTCCTTTCCTGCAGCAAATGCCAGAAACTAGACAGAAATGTTGATTACCATTTGCTTTTAGGAAATCAAAGTCAAACAAAAAAGTAATTAAAATAAATTGATAAATAATATTAGGTGTTGTTCAATGCTCATCAATCAATAAGACCCAAACTTATTTAAGTTTGTTTGCCTTTCCTCTTCAAAACTGGATAGGAAAAATGTTACACTCTTGCTAATAAAATGTTTTATGAAAAACTTATAACTTATTTTTGTTTATAATTTTTTATAATCATATCTTAATCGTTAATTTTTGTGATTATCATATCATTTTGCTAAATCTCCGAAATGAGGGAGGGTTTCAGATGGCCCCAATCATTTTCGTTAATCTAATAGTTATAATTTATTAGATCACACTTATTAATTTATGATAAATTATAATTGATAGAAATGAATGATTAAAATTTAATATCAAACTGATTAAAATTTAATATCAAACTTTTCAATTTGACATCATTATCAAAGAATCTTGTCCTGGAACGGATCATTTGATTTTAGAGTAAGACTTGAAAATTTTACTCCTCATTCTAATCGTTGATTTCCGTTCATGTAGCGGTTATAGATGAATAAAAATCAACAATTAGGATGAGGAGTAAGACTTTTAAGTCTTACTCTGGAGTTAAAAGATCCCTCCCCTATATATATATATATATATATATATATATATATATATATATATATATATATATATGAGACAATATTTCGAAAATCTCGTAACAAAATTTCTTTCGAATTTTGATAAAAACATGTACTTATGAGATGAAATAAAATGGTGAAAACCAAAGTCATCAAGCATAACACGTTATTTAAGTAAAAATATTTCGACAAAGTTTTTGACTCTGACCAATTTTTTATTTATATAACTATATTATTGTAAAATAAATTCCTTAGTTTTGTAGCCATTTTTTCAAAAATATATTGTTAGTGATTGAAATTAAATACAAAAAACACATAATGGTTACAAAACTAATATTTATGCTTTTTTTTTTTTTTGTGTAAATAAAGAGGGGCTAAGCCCCACTAATATTTATGCTTTACCTCCTTGTAATATAGACATTTCATAACCAATCTCCTCTAAAGAAATTTTAATAATACCAAACCACCCTTATATCGGGTGAATCGTGAAACTATTATTCCAGGCTTCCAGCCGAATAGTTATTCAACTGTTGAATAATTGTTGGGTTGGATTAGAGGGTATCAAAGCCATCACCGATGCAAAGGACATTCTCTTTATGTTATTTACTATTTTTAGTCCTTTAAAAGCAGAGAAACAAACTTATACTCCTTTTAATACATAATATTACATTAAAAGATCTCCCAAATCGTTGTTTCTCCTATATTTCCAAGGCAGTTGGTGCTTCTGTTGCTTCTCTTTACAAATACTCTCAACTTACCACTAAAATCGCCTTCTCATTCTCTCTTTGTATTATTATTATTATTCGTAAAACTTTGCACACAAAATGAAATCCTCACATTGCTTATATTTATTTTCTGACATAAAATGTATATTAGGAGACACACCGTGCCCTCTAACACTAGTTACTACAAAGAGTATACTGTATGGATTTGATAAATTTTGAGACCCAAAATAATAAATTAATATGATAGAACGAAAAACACTTGTCTGTGCTACTAATTAATCTATAACACATAACGACTCTTAACCCTCCCACAAGGCATACGTATCAAACTATCAATACTCCTTTAAAAAAACACCTAGAAGATTATATAAGATCCACATGATTCGTTTCCTCTCTAAATTTTCTCGACAATAAAGGTTAGATGTCTGCAAACAAGAGCACAAAGCAGCTGCTTTTAAATTCAGTCATCAGTTAATAGAAACAAAAAGAATCACAAATGCGTCAAAGGTTTTTACCCCCCCCCCCCAGACACACCAAAACATCCCTTTTAATATTTTCCCAACTCTTCAATGGCACTACTGTTCTGTGGTCCACAATCCTTCCCCAAAAAACAAACCAGTTACTGACAGTATATATAACTATAATATTTGTTTTAGGATAAGCAAACGTTTAGAGAAGCGAGGTTGCTTCACTCCAAGGTCAAGGACAAGGCATGTCACAAATCTCAACGAGGAACCAAAGTGGTACTCATAAATGATCTGCCAATAAAGAACACAAACAAGAACCGAACCTAATATCACTGTCTCCTCGCAAACCAATCCAAACCTCTTTCGAAAAACACACAATGAGGAAAAACCAGGAGTGGAACAAGTTTTAACAATTCAGTCACACGTGTACCAGAAAAACATAATCACCTTTTATCTTAAACTAGTTTAGGTCGGCAGTTCATGAATCTATATAAAAGCAAAAGCAGATTAAGAAAAATAAATGATAAATAAGAAGAAAAAAGTATATATAAACATAAAAAACTTGAAAAATTAAAAACAAAATTTCCAGAGAGAGAGAGAGGTCGTGGCACTTAGCACAACAATTGCCTAAACTAAAAATACCATGTGAAGAATCCACTGGGTCAAAAACACATTATCCTATAAAATCCCACTGCCAATTCCAGAAAAGAGGAATCCACTGATCGTGAACCATACATGTTGAACAAACTCAATCTCAGTCTTTCAATGGTAAGCACAATTATAATTTATCCCCCCAGACCTTAAAATAAAAATAAAAATAAAAATGGTAGACTATCTGATTCTTATAATGGAGAAATAATTTAGGCACCCAAGTAAACTTGGCTCCTCGCTGACTTAGTTGTACCCCCTAACAAATCCATATCTTCTCAATGCTAATCAAAACTAGCATTTAAAAAGTTCAGCAGTTCATTTCTCTTGCTTTCAGCTACCTTATCTTCCTTTGTTTTTTCAAGTTTCAGAAGAATCTACAAAGAAACAAAAGAAAGGAGATTCAAGATCGCTACTAGCCTACTACCAATAACGGGACAAAAAAAAAAGGTACAGTCAAAGAACATATCAGTACCTTCTTGCCGGATACAGCACTGCGACGGACACCATCATCTTTGTCACGCCCTAAAAACTGATCAAGTACAAAAAGCTAGGAAAATAAAGAACCATAGAAGCAAGTAAATGTATTGAATTTCTGAGCCAGATTACAATAAAACCTTGGAAAGCTGCACAGGGCTGCTCCTCCTCTCATCATGATGCTTCTATATAAAGCTCCCATTGCCAGGACAACCCCGATCAAGAAACAACATCCAAGCAAGTCAATCAAGCGCCCCCAAACATGTCACAGATCCCAGCTCCAATTTCAAAGAGCAAATCATAAAATAGGCAGAAAGTATCATAAGCATCTCAGACTCGAATGAACAAAACTTATGTGTCTGGAAAGAAAAAACTGCAAGTTTGCAGCAAAATTAATAATTATTTTCTGTTTTCTGCCATGCATTTTCAGTTCAGGAGCAATGGTGTTAAACACATGTTTTGAAGCTGGAGAAGATGATTTGAAAGGTACAATATGTGGGTGTGTCTTAAGTTGACGAATCTTAGTTTTGGATGAAATCCATGCAGCAAAACTTCCAGCAATTAGCATTCAGAATGTTGACTTAAGTTTATGAACAAGCTGGTGATTTAAATGAAATGAGAACTCCTACATAGTAGATATTTCAAGGTAACTACTTGAGTTAGAAACTTCAAGGATGAAGAATACGAAACTATTTTGTAAACAAGCCTATGGAAGAGAATAAAACAAAGTATAAAAAAGTGGCCTACCTCTTTTACTTTATGTTTTGGCCGCTTATGGTGGTGACTTTTACTTCTATCTTTTTCCTTATTCTGGAGGGAAAACGAAGTGAGATAAATTGACATTGACAAGGTTATAAAATGGGAAAAATTGTAGTGCCAACAAATCACCTTCTTGGGTCTGATGCTCTTTTTGTGCCTCTTTGATCGATGAGATGTTTCATGCTCACTATCAGAACTACTCTGACTTCTGTAGCAATAAACATAATCAATAATGTGTTGCGATATGAACCGGATTAATCCACTTATTAAATTATTAACAAATGATGCCAGAAGTTTTCAACATCAATAACGTACATCAAGATGCAGCTACACTGAAAAGTAACTAACTACTCATGCAAAATGATTGGGTGTTTTCTATAAGACACACAATTTATCGACAGTAAACATTTTCAAGAAATTATCATTCCAAATCCATAGTAAAGGGGAGATGAGAACATGAACAAAGGAATAATATAAGAATCAGAATTGTGAAGAAGAAACACAGTGAAGGGGAAAGGAGACCGAGATTTTGCTTGGTCAATGATCTGTTTTATAAAATTCTGTTTTCGGATATATTTTCATAAGTTATAATCATGATTCCATTCCATATCACTTCCCATTTCCATTCACCAAACATAAAAACAGAATGGTATGGTACAAAACAGATTCCATTACTGAGAGAACCAAATATTGGAACAGGAATACTCATAAGATTCCCTAATTCCAAAAACATCAATTCTGTGTACCAAACATAACCTAAGACAGAGAGAAAGTTCGAATTTCTTCTCCAATTGTGTGCTTCCCTGAGAATGGCCGGAAACAATTAATTATATCTTTTTCCCCCACTCAAACATACGTTATTCCTGCTGAGACTGTATCTGTTTCCTAAAATATTGACCCAAACTGTTATATTTGCCAAGATGTTGAATCTAGGAAATCCATCAAGGCAAGGATTTCTTGTCTTTCTCACACAATACGCATTCAAACATAGCAACCTATTACAAGATTCATATTTACACAGTTCCGTAAAGATAAAGACCATATTTACATAAACGATAAACTATTAAGATTCCTAAACGACTTGTAAGCTTCATAAATTGCATTAAATTTGGCATTGAAGCAAAGCATGTACATACGAAAAAACATAAATACATTAAAGGAAAGGAGTCTGTTGTGTTATGTGAGGATTGGATATGAAACCTGGAGCAATCAGAGATGGAAGATGAAGAATATGAATCGGAATCGGAATCGGAATCGGAAGAGCGGTGGTGGTGCTTGCGGCGTCGTTTGGTTTGGGAGTGGGACTTGGTCTTCTTTCGGATCTTTAGGGTTTCCTTATCACGGTCTCGGCGATTGCGGTGCTGACGCTTACGACGGTGAGAAGAAGAGTCGGTTGAGGAAGAGAGAGATGAAGATGAGGCTGCCATGCCAAACTTGCGTTTGCGATTGCGATTGCGATTACGAGCGAGGGTTTGCCTTAAGATAGGGGAACAGGACACCCACACCTACTCCTCACACCAAAATTATCTCTCTCTTACTTCTTGATTAAGGGATTAATGCCTTAATAGTGTATATAGATAAACTGTTAATATTATTTAATTATAAACAATAATTTAGAATTTTATCATATCATAACCCTGAGTAATAGCGTAAGTAATGTGACACGAGTCATTTGAATATAGTTATGTAATTAGTTCATTAGTAAGTAGGATAATAGGTAATTAGTTGTCCACCCCGTAGATTTTACGGATTGTTTAAATTAAATATATATGATTACAAAAATTTTATTTAACCGATAAATATTCAGTTTAAACTTAAATTAATTTATTTGATTTTGAAAAACTTATAATAAAAATAATTAGTTAAAACTATAAAATAAAATTTAATTTCTTAAAATATAATACAGAAACTAATATTTGAAATTCAATAATTATATAATTTAATTTTAATTTAATTATTTGTAACAGTATTTAGATATACTTATAACTTTTATACATAATTTATATGAAAAAAGTTCAGATTTTTTTTTAAGTAATGATTATATCATTACAATTTAGTTAGAAACTAAATGAGTTAGTTATATTGTTAAAATCTAACTAAATGTAATAATTAAAGGAGTCAAAAGCAAGTCAATGTATTTGTCTCTATATAAATGGAACTACTAATAGAAACTAACGAAGAGAAAGAACAAAGACATTAAGCTAGTGTTTGGTGGGAGAGAAATTTTTTTTTACTAGGAAAATGTAATTGATAGGGAAATGATTGGAAAGTGAGTTTGGTAGGAAAATGTAAAAAAAGTTGTTTGGTTGACCCAAATATTAACAGGGAAATTTATTTAAATATGCAAAATTTATGTTCGGGAGAAACTTTGCATCTGTTTTTTCACTTCTCCAGTTATCTCAAAATACCACATCTCAAGTGGTATTCTGTAACAATGAATTTTATCCAAAAATCAACACAAAAGTCATTTTCCCATCTATCATATTTGCCTGGTATTTTTTGAAAAAATCTGAACCAAACGTGGTATTTTCCAATATCCACTTACACTTTCCCATCAATCCCAAAATAAACCTTCAACCAAACACTACCTAAGAGAAGAAACTTCATCGGAGAAGAAAAAAAAAAAAAGAGGGAAGGATTAACATCGAAATAGGAGAGAAGGAGTAAAGAAAATAAAAGAAATGTAATATTGAGAGATAAAAACTTTCTCTCATTGCTCTTCTTTTTACTATTTCTTTTAAAGATTTCTTTTTTAGTACCGTTACTTTGCCAATTTCTTTTCTTAAAATTCTCTTCTACTTGTTGTTATTCCTACCTTTAGTTTATTTATTTCATTCTAAAATTCTTACTGTTGTTTTTATTTTAACTTTAAACTAGTTGATTATTTGGTACCAAATAAATGTGTAAATTTTAACTGTATGTTACTGCTGTGAACTGATCCACAAAAGTTTGGGATCAGATAGTTAGGGTAAGGGACGTTTATCATGGCTTGAGCTCCGCCACACAAAACTTTTCACATGCAGAGACCCACAAAGTTGGGTATTTAATTAGCTTCAGTTAAATATTACACAATTTATTATTTATCTTTATTCCTGCAATAATTTTATGAAATTACTTGAGAGAATGATATATTTTTCGTTAATATGGCTGGAATGGTTATAGTTATAAAACCTCAATATTACTGAGAATTTTCTCACGTTTTATTTGCTTTGCTAATCTTTCTAGATGCCTAACTTGTCTTTTTGTGGAGAATGATGGAATATTACTGTTAATTTTTATAGTGACCGTTGGGAATACTATATTGTGATGGGGAATCAAGGAGCTGTAGCTGTATTTTATCCTGACAAAGTGGAGACTTATGCGTATACTTTGGACTAAACAAGGATCGTGTAATAGTGTGTGACTGAAGAATGTTATATATATATATATAGTAAAATAATGTAATCTGACGTAGGATGTAGGACTTATGTAAAATAATGATGTAAGTTAGGAAGTAGACTAAATTTATATATATATATATATATATATATATATATATATATATATATATATATATATATATATAAGTTTATACAAATTTATGTACGAATCCACATCCATGTTTATAAAATGAAGGAAGTTAGTTCCAGTTAATTAGTTTTCTTCACATGCGTTGGCACAATCTGTTACGTTTTTGTTTTACTTTTATTAAAATGAAGGAAGTTATATTTTATGGTATCAGAGCAGCGGTTCAGGTAAATAAAAGATCTAAACTATTATAGTTGCTTGGTATTTTGTCATAGATCATGCATATTTCGAGTTATTTTAATGAGCCTGATCAACTCACTATCATAAAACAATATATGTAGATCTATGGCAGATACAAGGCATATATCTTCTTCAACTTCTGAACCAGAATTTAACCCAGTAACGGATGCGGTTACCCGAGTGGCATAAGCTCTTAGAGAACAAACCGTAACTAATCAACAAATTATTCAGGAGCTGAGGGAGGATCGTGCAACCAGAAATTACAACCATAATTCTAAAAGTGCAAATGGACCTAGAACTGCAAATACTCAGGGAGGACTTAATTATGATTATATAGGACTCACTGAATTCCGTAAGCATAAACCTTCCACTTTTCGTGGAGATTATAACCCTGAGGCAGCCATGGAATCGGTGAAAGAACTTGAGAAAATATTCTTAGTAATGAATTGTCCTAATACTCATCGTGTAAACTTTGCCACATACTTATTGATTGGAGAAGCAGAGCATTGGTGGACAAATACCAAAAGACATTTCCAAAGCCAGGGAACATAGATTACTTGGACAATTTTTAAAGATGTCTTTTTGGAAAAATATTTATCCTCAAAGTGTAAGAAACAGAAAAGAAATAGAATTCCTTGAACTGAAACAAGGAAACATGAATATTGGAGAATATGTGACAAAATTTGAGGAATTATCCAGATATTCTAACTATATACATAATCAACCTAATGAGGAATGGTTGACAACTAAATTTGAATCTGGACTAAAACCTGAACTAAAAAGCATGATAATAGGACACCAAATCAGGAATTTTTCATCATTAATAAACAGGTGCAGAGATATTGAAGCAAGCATGAAGGAGGCTGAGGATGTAAGAGAGAAAGACAAGGCCTTAAATCGGAGAAGGATTGATGACAACAACAAAGGAAGGTTTTCACGAGCGCAAAACTCGGGAAGCAATTTTTCTAGCAATGGAGGGAAGAAGAATGCGGGTCAGACGAATTTCCAGATTCAGGTATGTCCAAAATGCAAGAAAAATCATGCTGGAGAATGCTTGGCAGGAAGAGGTGTGTGCTTTAAGTGTGGAAAGCCTGGACATATGTTGAGGAATTGTCCTCAGAATCAAGGCCAGAATTCATCAAACCAACCTACAACAAGAGGAAGAGTTTTTACCCTAAGTGGGCAGGAAGCGGCTCAAGCTTCAAACTTGGTTCAAGGTACGGGCTTAATACTAGATTATCTTATAACTGTACTTTTTGATTCTGGAGCTACTCATTCTTTCATATCCTTATCTTCTGCTCAAAAGTTAAAATTACCAATTTCCATTTTACCTTCTTATCTTGAAATCTTTCTTCCTACTGGAGAAAAGATAACCACATCTCAAGTCTGTAGAAATTGTCATTTTCAACTCGAAGGAAAATTGTTTGAGGTGGATTTAGTTTGTTTGTCTATGATTCATATAGATGTGATTCTTGGTATGAATTGGTTGTCTGCTAATTGTGTAGTCATTGATTGTCATAATAAAAGTATAGTTTTCACAAAAGAGTCAGAACTTCCCAATGAATCTTTATTCTTGTCAACTTCCCAACTTAAGAAGAGTTTGTCAGATGGAGCACAAGGATATGTTCTCTTTAATATTTCAGAAGCAAGGGCTAAACCTGATACAGCCAGTATCCCTATTATCTCTGAATACTCAGAGGTTTTTCCGGATGAAATTCCAGGTTTACCCCCAAACAGAGAAATTAAATTCTCCATTGACCTAATACCTGGAGTAGGGCTAGTTTCTATTGCACCCTATAGGATGTCACCTGTAGAGCTTGTTAAACTAAAGAAACAATTAGAGGAACTGCTATCAAAACAGTTCATCAGACCAAGTGTGTCACCTTGGGGAGCACCAGTGCTCTTTGTCAAGAAAAAAGATGGATGTATGAGGTTGTGTGTGGATTATAGGCAACTAAACAAAGTCAACATTAAAAATAAATATCCTCTGCCTTGGATAGATGACCTTTTAGATCAGTTGAGAGGAGCCACAGTCTTTTCAAAAATAGATTTGAGGTCAGGTTATCACCAGATTAGAATTAAGACTGAAGATATTCCAAAAACAGCCTTTAGGACTAGGTATGGACATTATGAATATTTTAGTGATGCCTTTTGGATTGACAAACGCTCCAGCTATATTTATGGATTATATGAATAGAATTTTTAGACCTTACCTAGATCAATTTGTAGTGGTGCTTATAGATGATATTTTAATATACTCTAGGAATAAAGAAGAGCATAAGGAGCATTTAAGGATAGTATTACAAATTTTAAAAGATAAGCAATTGTATGCCAAACTTTCAAAATGTAAATTTTGGATGGAAGAAGTTAAGTTCTTAGGGCATGTTATTTCAAAAGAAGGAGTGGCAGTTGATGCTAGTAAAATTGAGGTTGTAATACACTGGGAGAGACCTAAGACTATCACTGAAATCAGGAGTTTTCTAGGATTGGCAGGATATTATAGAAGATTTATTAAGGGATTTTCACAACTAGTATTACCTTTAACTAGGTTAACTAGAAAAAGGAGTTCCTTTTGTTTGGACACAAGAATGTGAAAATTGTTTTCAAAATTTGAAGAATAAATTGAAATCTGCACCAATTTTAATAATCCCCGATCCATTAGGAAAATTTGAGATTTACAGTGATGCATCTAGAAAGGGATTAGGATGTGTCTTAATGCAAGAAGGAAAAGTGTTAGCTTATGCATCAAGACAATTGAGACCTTATGAGGAAAATTATC